AGAGGTCATGAAAGTTTAGTATAGCAAATCTGCTAATCAGCTGTTTTCCTCAGAATCATTCTGCATAGCTTTATCAGAAACCGATCCATTTTATTTCCTAGTCGGTTGCAAAATCATATTGAATACTTATGGATGCATATATAAAGATAATGCTGAAAATAACATCCTAATGTGCCTACTTATCTGGTAAAATAATGGAAAGCACTTCTCATGAAAGCTACTAATGTGCACTATAGTGCATGATTGGGATGAATTCAAAGAAATTCAATGCTACAAGTAAGATTATTGCACAAAAATCTTTCAGCCTAACAATTAAAAAGCAGGTAAAGTGGTGCTTACTAACAACATTTACAGTTAAATTCACGAATATGAATCATTGCAATCTCTGAGACAGCGAAATACGTTTTTTGACAGCTTCATAATTATACATGAGTTCAGACGCTAAACATGAAAAACAAATTATTTCGATCTAAATTTAAAAGAACAATGCTTCTGCTGCCAACACCTACAAGTTTGAGTGGCTTGAAAATCCCCATTGAGTCATATGAAGAAGAGAAAACGTTCGGCGAAGAGACTCTTTTCAGCGAATTCATTCAGATAGCTGTACAAGTGCATTTATATATTATTATTTGTGTGTGTACATGAGGCCAAGTTTAGATAATTGATCAGGTAATACAAGAATGATCTATCATAGAAACAAGGTTAATCAGATGGCAACTAAAGTAAGATTGAGTTAGTTAGTTAGTTAGACGACGTAATACAATTGATTAAAACGTTTCAACTTAGGTCAGGGCAGCAACAGAGATAATAACAGGTAGAGACTAAGGAGAAGTAGGGTAGAGAATAATGCCATTTAAATTAGAACTGAAATTGAGTAAATAAGTTGGATGACGTAACATAAATGACTAGAAATTGAGCGTTGTCCAAGTCAGTAACAGTGGTAGTAAGGTGTAGAAATTAAATCGGGTGGGGATAGAGAACAAGAAAGTTGGAAATGTAAAGTATTACAATTGAGAAGACAAAATAATACTAATGAAGAGACAGTAAAAAGATTAAGTAGAATTTACTTATCGGGTAATAAGATAGATTACGTCCATTGCAAGTGTAGTGATTGAACGAAATTCTTCTGTATGTACAGTTCGGGACTTAGCAAGTGAGTCGCCATTGCTTTTGCAGTTTGAAGAAGTCTGATTCGTAAACCTTTGGGAAGACTACTTCTTACTCTGTAAACGACTTTGAAGTTTGTTTGCGGTGTAGCTTGGTGTCCGGATTCTATCAGATGTTCTAAGATGGAACTGCGGGGGCATCGATTTTCTCCTATGTAAAACCATGTTGGTAAGTGTTCGGTGATACGTTTCTTAGTTCAACTACTTCCCAAGAAACTAGTTTGTGGGAACTACACAGAGTATAGGGACATCTTACAGGTCAGCACATTCTAAAGGTTCTGGTTTTTCAGATTTCGAAGTCACTTCGAAAAAAATACTGCTGAAACACTTCACAATAATTTTTCTATCTAAGCCCGTTATATCTTAATGCATAGGTCAATGATAAGCTGAAAGTACACTTTTCATTAGCTATTTTCTCTCTATTCATGTCTGACTGTACTGAAGAAAGGACATAACAACCAAGCAACGTTTGAGGAAAGATACATCTTCATCTATAACAGTTTCTACGGGAAGATCAGTATGGCTAACATCATTTGCTGCAAAATTCATATTAGAATTCCGAGGACTCTTTAACTCTTTCTTGCATGCATCTTGTCGGTGTGCTTTCAATAAAATATTATGTTCCCTAGTGTTTTACACCATTCAACAGTTTCTCAGGAGGTTCTCGGCCTGAAATAAAATTATTTCCCATGTGGACAAGGTACTTACCAAATCGCGGAGTGCCCATTGGATGACCATAAATAGTAGCAGGAATCGAAATTAAGGTTGGGCTGCTGCCCAAACTTGACAACAACCTGAGTAAAAGATTTCAAATTAAACATTTGTACGGACATGATTTTATTCCCTGTACTATAATTCAACAGTGAAACCTTATGAAATGGTGCAAATATAGTGATAATTTATCAGTATAATTGATACAACGACTGATCATGTGTCCAACGATAGTGTCAGTGTAAGCGCAATATCGCTTGAAATTAAGTCACGCGTAGATAGAGGCTATCCCGGTCAAGAACAAACAAGAAGCCGGTCACTGTTTCTACGGTACTATTAATAAACAAATCAATTAATATATATACAACAAACCTTAACGGTTTCAAGAGTGCAATACACAATGCTTAACAGAAAGCAAGGAACCGCTATCAGAGCGGAATAACGTTAAAGCCAAAATTACGAACTAGCCGGATCAGACACGACCGTTCAGGTAAGCAGTCAGTAGAAGAATGAACCCAAGTAAGAGATAGACAAAGCATAGGCACAAAGATAGAATTTAATTGGCTACTTAACCAATCAATAAATAAGATAAACTCAACAGAATAATACAAAGTAAGACATGGGGCAGCAAAATAACAGTTCACAAAAATACTCTGATTGGGTCATGAGTTCAACTGTCTGACTAAAAGGATCGAAGTAAAAACACACATACACAGTTAATTAAACAAGGTGGGATAGACACGTTGGGCATGGATAATTGTGTTGCAACAATGCTAGGCTGATCCGGCACAGGTTGACTTGATTCAAGGATAGGAATTGAATTGATCTTACAGTCAGTTTTATGTAAAAATAAATCTTATAAAGATATATCGATTTGTCATTATTAAGAAAAGGTTGAAACAGACACTCTAAATCTCGTAATCGAAAAGAGCATGGAATGACAGTCTCTAAATCAACTTCACCGACATTGAAAAAGATATCAGTAACTTTGACAGCGAGGCTATTTAGAAACTGCTTCAGCACTATGGAGCACCTCAAACCCTCACCAACGTCATTCGGCAGCCAAACCATGATGCAACACGTAACGCGAATCACAACGACAAATTCACCGAAGCCTTTGTGGTGAAGACAGGGATAATACCAGCCTATCCACTGACACCGATAATATACCATTTTGTGATGAACTGGATCGTGTGAGAACGTTCAGCTAGCAAAAATATTCTGGAAGCCTATTCTGAAACAATGCGCCGAAGCTCTCTGTAGGCCCTTATGCTACTTGTTCCAACACTCTATGCAATTGGGAAAACTACCAAGGGTGGGGATAAGCAAAATGCCACTAGTTATAGACCAGTGGTATCAAAAGTACTGGAAAGTGTTATTGACGATCACATCAGGAAATATCTCGATAGGTCTAATATACCCCATGAAGCCCAACACGTTTGCAGGAAAGGAAGATCCTGCGTTACTAACCTACTATCAGCTTGGGACGATTGGACATCATGCTGGTATATGAATGTTCCAGTCCATGTGATCTTTCTAGACTTTGAGAAGGCATTTGACACTGTTCACCATGACCTCCTACACAAAATAAGCCAGGCAGGTATAGGTAAGCCACTTTTGTCATGGTTAAAGGACTACATAGCTGAAAGGCAATTTTGCACTAAGGTCAATTGAGTCCTATCATCTTGGCACAGCTCGTCATCAGGAGTGTCACAGGGTTCTATCCTAGGACCACTGATATTTTTGATTTTCATCAACGATCTACCATGCCCTTTCTAAGTTGCCCGGCTCTTCTATACGCTTACGACTTGAAGATATGGAGGGCGATAAAGTGCCAGGAGGACTCAGATAGACTGCAGGCAGATCTAAGGCTTCTGGAAGACTGAGTGGTGGCCAGTTGCATGACTTTCAACCTGAAAAGTGCAAGGTAGTGAAGTTACGCACTTGTAGACTGCAGAATGCAAGTTACACCCAATGCCATGAAAGCTTGTCCTGCACAACGTCGGAACGTGACTTAGGTCTAGTTCTAACGGAGAAAATGGACAAGTATAAATTACACGGGGGATGTAGCGAGGGCATTTGCGGTCATACACTTCACACACAGACAGTTAGCAGCATTCACTCCTGAGCTCTTTCTAAGGTTGTACAAAACATACGTCAGACCACACCTTGAAGTGCATAATATTATTGCACCCCCACTGCTTAGAAGAGACGCCAACCTCTCGGAAAGAGTCCAACGACGTGTAACAAAAGGAGTGATTGGTCTCCGAAATGAACCGTGTGATGAAAGGCTGAAGAAATTAGGTCTATTCACACTTAGCTATCGTCGTCATAGGGGGATTTAATTATTGCCTACAAAATAACGAATGACCAGAACCACACAAACAAAGGTGTTCTGCCATTGAGTAGGTATAGGCTCCCTCGTTGAAATCCTAGAAGGATAGCTCATCAGAGGGCAAGGACCCGGTGCGCTCCCACTTTAAGCGAAGGCTGTGCCACCATGCAACATCCAAATGGCCTATCCCCTTAAAATCGCATACACCATTCAAGGGTAGACAATTAAACTTGTGGTTTTACTTCTTTACATTCTCTCCCGTCTTACTCTCCTGACAGCTTTAACTACACCTATTATTATTATTATCATTATAACCGGTATATGTATATATATTATTCATATTATTCTTCAAATTTAATCAGCTGACTGCTGTTACGTGTTTTTTATTCTTTTTCTGTCTGTTAGTGCGAATAACTTCACTAATTATATCGATTATTACTATTATCTCTTTTCTTTTGACGACGATACCGGAGGACTAACTGGTGAAGGGATCAACTCCATTCGCAGTAGTATCAGTCTTAACACACCTCATACTACAAGCCACATATAATTAATCCCAGCACTACTCCTTTTGGAGTCAACCAAAGCTACGGCAGTGGAGTGGCGTGAGGAGGTAGGCAGAAGTTTACCAAAGAACAGGAACCTAAACCTCACAATCAAGAGGCGAGCACAAAGAAATCAAATTAATTAATACTAGCTCGTAAAAACGATATTGGATATTGTGGCAAGTTGCTGTCAGTTGTTTAACTGCATGAATGAAATAGCAACCACAGCCCTGGATCAAATGAAAAGCTTTCGGAATGACTGATGTGAGAGAGTTATTTTGGATACACTTAGAAATTATCTGTATGACAAACTTAATTTGCACTGTATACTTATGAACGTGACGTCATATTTGACAAGCTGTACTTATGAAGTTACCTCGATAACATTTTGGTACAAATGAATATCTGTTAATAATGTATTTTTGTCGATATTTAATGCTAGGATTATCTGCATCAGTTAGGGTTTTGCAAAAATATTTTTTGTTAGTCTTTTAATGAATACAGATGTGGTGATCATTTCATTCGTACTAACCGTCTGTGTCAATTCATGTGAAATTTAATTAAATGTTTAAGCAGAGCGAATGTAATAACATATGACCAGTGGACTCGATAGGAGATGCTGAGTTTTCTTTTTGATTATATCTGCAAAAAGAAGTTTAATGGTAATTTTTTATTCTGCTTTCCGTGTTTTTTTCACTCTGTAGCTCCATAGATTTTCAAATCTATTGTGTGCATATACAGTGTGTATCTAAGGAAGAACAGTGAAAGTTATATTGGTAATAAAACAATCCTGTGTTTACGCCCTGTTTTATGTTAAGCTTTTAACTTTAATCCTTCACAAATTTTACACAAGCTTTCGACTGGCATACTTCCTTTTGCCAAAGATTAATTAGTTCTGAAGAATTTTGACCAAATCAATGTGATTTTTAAAATGTTTACAGTCACCATGGTAATTAATCTCAGTCGACTAAGATTGGTTGTTTCGGTGACTGCATTTCTCGTTTTTTTATTGTGAAGTGACTTGATTGCATTAGAAGTTGTTAAAATTGCAGTTGAGATTTACAGGTCTATACAGTTGCTCACGTCTGGCGAATATGGAAGACCATTCTAAATCACGTCACAGTTGAAGTATCAGACCTTTCAGTTCTTTGACCTCTGAATAATAATAATTATTTGCACACAGTCTTGCTAAGGATGTGATAAATATTCGTAAGAGAGTATGTTGGTCATTTCAGTGGATATTTTCGTAAATTTTAAACCTCGCCTTAGGTGTATTTATCACGGAAGCTTCAAACACTTAAATGGGTGGAAAATGTACGTAACATCCGACTGTATCTTCATAACTTTTCAAGGTAACCTAAAAGACCTTTTTCCCCAGGAAAACAAGATAGAATATACGTGTTTGCCTATGTCTTATTAGGAAGACAGAATGATAATATTAGGCTGAGGAGTCACTGTGATAATGCAACAGAAAAGGCAGTAGTCGCTTGAGATATTTATCGCATAAAGGTTGAAGAAACAAATCAGTACATTGAGCTATTTATTTAATAAATTGGGTATTCAAGATCAGGCTAACTTTCTGACAGAACACTGTTCAAAAGTGCACGTGCTGAAGTTGCTACACTTTGGAGAGGTACTCCGAGGTGAAGAGTCGAAATCCAATATAAGCACAGTAGATGAAGATATAACAGTGGGAGTGGTTAAATGGGTGTTATTGAAAAGTTCCGGAGACTAGATACTAATAAGGAGAGTACACTTCCTCTCTTCTGTGGACGATTTTGAACCATTTCACCGAGACACTACATTCACTAATGCTTATGGTTAAGGAGACCATATTTACGCATTCCACACTTCTTTAAACAGCTCAGATGCATTCACGAGTTTACGTCACATTTTGAATCAATATCCACTACATTCCCATTTCAGCTAACATCACTCTTCATGGAGATGTATTTGTATTCAGTAATATATTGCCGTAAACGTTAGGCATCTTTGATGTTAGAGTAGGAGATACCTTTGCTTTAACTGGTTTAAGCCTTGAAAAAGCTTTTGTAAACCAGTTTATGTCTCATTCTGGCTTGGAATGGTAGACTGGCACCCAATTGGGCCGAATGAACTGCCCATCTGAATGATATACCAAACTTTGTAGATATTGCTCCTAAAAGATTATTTAGTTTCTGTGCCAGCCAAATATAGTTTTACCTGCCTTAATTGTCCTAGGGCCCATTTCCTCATAAATGTGAATACGAGCAGAGTGTTATGTAGCGTTGATGGTATTTGTTATTTCTTTTCGTTTCATCACCAATTATAATTCGCAGCCATCCAGACGAATTTTATTGCGAAATAAAAAGGAGAGTTTTGTGAAGTTGTTTGAAGGCTTACATACATTAGATTTGGCTGCATCTGGGATGCCCTATCATCATTAGATTTGGCCTTATGACTAGTTGTAAGAACATATGTTCCTAATTATTGGTTTTGTAGGGATTTTGTTTGATTGGATGGAGGATTTCATCATGAGCTGACATTGGTTAGAGAACCACCGGAAAACCTGGGAGTACTGGACAGCTGTTTCGTCCTGGTTTGGGGCTCTTCATCAGTACGCACCCATTGCCATTCGAACCCAGGACCTTTCGGTTACAATGCGAGCTCATAGACCAGCAGTGACCTGGGGTTCTGGTGGGAAGCCGTGACCAGTAGGGTACAGCAGGTTGAAGATTAGGCAGTAACTCATCGAAAAAGACATAAATTCTTGTTAGATAAATCTGTGGTTTGCTGCATTTCTCACCGGTGAAAGTTATTATGACAAATTTGTGTCTCTCCATGTTTCGTAATATTGCTTTCAATAGATCAGCTTATGATTCTTTGGGCTAATTCCTTTAACTTAAGCTGTAGTGAATACTTATCTCCATGTGTCACTTATGCTGCTTTAACTTAGCCTGCAAACAATATCATTGAGAACTGGCGATCTTCAGGCAGACCACTGACAGAGATTACAAGTGTGATAGGTCCCTTGGTCATTTCTTGAAACATCTCAATACTTACGGCTTGCTTCTGAGGAGATTTTTTATTACCAATTGTTATCATTTTTCTATCATACGAGAAGAAATAGTCCAAATCTATGTAGCAGGTTTAGACGAATTGTAGAAAGCCTATTTACTAATCCTACATGTAACACTTCGTTAACACCTTTATCAAGTTGATGAATACAGTGTCAGAGAACAGTTTGTCATCATGAATTAGTATTTCTTAATCTTTCTGTAAAAGTACGTTTCTTAAACAGGAGCCACAAGTATGAGAATGTTGTGATAATATTACACTTTACTTCAGCCTATTACAACGACATTCTAATCTTACAGAATCTGTGTTTGCAACAGATAGATGTTAAATTACTCACCGAAAATTTTATTATGGAAAATGAAAATTGTTAAGGCCAATGCTGGAACTCTTGAATTTTCGTAGGATTAATTTGGTTCAACAGGTAAAGCCTTCCTTTTTCGTTACACCGAACCCATTAAAATGGGAATTCTGACAGAGTTGATTGGTATGTTTGCACTGCCATCTATCAAGAAAGTCACACCGAAGCAGTGTCAAAGACAATAAACTTTGAACAAAATAACCTTATTAGTCTACCTAATTTTCCACTAATAAAGAGACATTTCTCGTTTTTAAAATTCATTTCACCTTATAATATTTGGTAATAGCTTTTTTTGAGTTCTGATATTTTTATTTGAGACGCCTTTATAAGAACTGTTTACAGGTTCTTGCTGCTGCTGCTGGATTCAACATAGAACTTGGCACCGAGGTGCAGCAGTTCGAGTTACCACGTTCCAAAGAGCACACAAAGGTAGACAGGGAAATGAGAGAAACAGAATGAGTAATGGTAGAAAGGAATATGAAAGGTTAGAGAGACTACAGGTTATTGGCTGTGTAATTATCAGTCTTACACTACCCACTATTTTTAAAGGTAAGCCTCCAGAATCTTTCCATCCTCCTTGGAAGTTCTAGCATGCTCCAGTCAGCTCTTGGGATAGGCTGTGACAACACGTGTGGAAAAATAACCACAGAAGAGGTTGATATCACTTCTTCAGAAATGATTACATGATTAGATCATGTTTTTAAATATTTATTTGTAGAATAAGGCTGTATTCGGGCGGGGTTGGGGGATAAGTGCAATTTTTAAAATAAGTCTGTGACCACTGAGAAAATTCTAAGATACTGAAACAGTCAGTATAACGCACTTGATTGTAAATTGCATGCAATCTGCAGAGCATTAAGTAGTTTGTCCATATGACAGTCCTTTCAGTCCCAGCTAAACATTCTGGTAATGCACTTATTTATACTTAATTTGGAACCTTTAGAATCTTGAAATACTCACGTGAGGTAACTTTCTATACTTTCACATAGGATGAATAGTTGGCAGACGTAGTTTGGAAAACCGCATGCTACCATATTTCGATTATTTTCATGAAAAGTCTGCTTGTAAAGTGAATTTTGTACATATAAGAGTATAGGATGGTTCGATTGCGATATATTCTCATATGTTACCAAAGTGGACTATTTACGAAAAGTTAATAGGAGTAAAAGCTATTCGTATATTTATTTGTACACCTCTGGGAAATTTCCTACACATTGATAGAAGTTTTTCGACGCCTAATCTACAACACATCTGGGTGATTTACATGGTCATGGTTTAAGAGGAGTGCTTATCATCTGTACCGGTCATCATTTTAGGGTGCAGGTATTTCAACATCGTCTGTTGAATCGCTACACTAACCTATTCCATGTAAATGTGTAGTGCAATACATTTTATCGATCTTGGCCTCAACATTACAATGATTTATCCCCCCTTTTTTATGGAGGAAAGGTATGATTAGCATCTAAGCAACAATGTAACAACAGTTCGGAAGCTATTACTATTTTTCTCCACACGTGTTTTAGTCAGTATTTTTCTGTCTTTATCCAACCCAGAATTGAATAATAACAGTAAAATTTCTTCTAAGTCTTGTTATACTATTTTATTTCCTCTCCATTTCAATATTTCTTCCAATGTTTTGAGGCTATTTTACTTCTGACAGACAAAGTCACACTAAAGTGCAGTTTTTGATGGTTTTGTACTGATGGGCAACTGGAAAAAAGCTTTTTTTAACTAAAATTAATGCCTTCTTAGTATTCAAGTGAGTAAGGGAAGAGAAGTTTAGGAAAATGGTGTATTTTAATCAGCATTAAAAATCCATTTATACAATAAGCCCGGGATTTGGATTTCATTGTCAATGGATTCTGAATGGTAGACTAATTACAGATGTTCGCTTGAAAAATAGTCAACTGAACTTTACTGTTTCTATTCTGAATAAACTTCTAATATGCTAGCTATTGACAAAGTTGTATGTAAGTTTACAGACAAATTTCACAAAAATAACATAGTGTTAAAATATATTGTAGCTATTCATTATGTCTATGGGTCTTTCCGATCAGTTTAGTGTACCATTCCTCTTAATGGTTTGAAGCGAATAATGGATTCTGATGACAAATTACATGCATTCCTCACATCTTACTTAGTAACGTTTTTATTATGGCTGTGAGAAAATTGCTATAACGTATATTGCACATTTTACAACTGTAAACTTATGAAATTATATTTTGTTTTATAGTGCAAGAATACAGAACAATATATTTTGTATCCTGGAGAAGCTGAAACGTTTATACAGTCGATGAAGTTTGTGAAATATGAAGAATATGGTTTAGAAAGGTGGTTCAATTATCACGGATATTTAAATAAGCTAAATATGCAGGTAAAAATGAATTATTAACTTAATTTACTTTCAGGCAGTCGCTTCAGCTCGTGCTCAATCAGATGAATTTGTCAAAGAATTTCTTGTTACCCATCAAAAAATACCTATTTTAGTTTATGATCTAATTATGGTAGAATTATGGAAACAAAAAGTCTTTGAAGTCATATTCAGCAGGAAAGAGGAACCTAGTACAGCTTTCCCGTTGTACACCATAATATATCATGAATTAGTGTTAGCAAACTTGCTAGAAACTGTAACATATCACAGTGATACGGTCGAAACTTTTGGAGATTCCGTAACTGACATGTGTGACTGGTGTTATCGATCCTTGTGTCACCTTGTAATTCGTTCCGCTTCAGAAGAAGAAAAGTCTAAGTATCTTGAGTTGAAAAATAAGGTAGTTTATTGGTTGTGATCATAACCATTTTAACTATCTCACACCTAACAGACTACAATAACATAACTACTTTTTGGTAAATTCTGTGAATAACTAGAGATATGCAAACATAACAACAATTAAACCAAGTCATAAAATAGTATAAATATTAATAAAGTTCCTAGTGGCACATAGGACTTCAACAAAACATCTCCAATTCATCCTATACTCCGCAGTTTCTGTAAACTGGCCGCACAATCACCCATAAGCTTCAAATTCTTCCTCACATGACCACCTCGACGTCACTCTCACACAACCAACTCATCGTTTCCGATTCAGGACCTGTCAAGCGACGTCATTCAATGGTCTCCTCAGCATGTGTCCGATTCATCTCCATCCCCCTCTAACTACTTGTTGGACAATAGACACACGGTTGGTTCGTTTCCAGAGTTTCTTGTTGCTTATCCTTTCCAGTCATCTGATCTTCAGTATGGAGTGAAGGCAGTTGTTGATAAAAGTTTTCAGCCTGTTCGAAGTGCTTTGGATGACACACCCAGTCAGCGAACCACTTGGAAGAAGTGACTTGACACTAGTGTAAAAATCCTAATGTTGTTGTGTTTTGTGTGGAGTGCAGCAGATTTTCACACTGATTGCAGAGCAATCAATGTGTGCTTTGTCTTTTCGATCTTGTCTTTGGCACTGTCATCCGTATCGCCTTTCATTGAAACCACATGTATCTTGGTTTCGAATGAATGATTTTTAAGGGTTAATAAAACGTCATATTTGACAGAATAGTAGCCGCAAAAACATATCTTAGAGAGGACTTCATTAGTCTGAGGATGACGGGAAACTGCAGAACAGTGAGAACAGTTTCGCCCTAGTTCTTTAAGTCCAGTTTGAAATGTACTGTGCAATGAAATAATTCTCTAGTTGATACTATATCTGACTTACCAATGTATAATAAATACCTTAGTCAAAACCTGCAATACATTTAATCTCATACTAGTGTACTCGTAATTATACAACATTTTATTATTTCATTTAACTTTTATCATGGTTAGTTACTTCCAACTAAAATCAGCTGTACGCTGGGTCAATAAGCACAAAAATTTATGGAAGTAATTGAAAATTTTAGCAAAACTGTTCACATCAATTTCGGCTGATAGAAAACTGAAATAAAATTTTATCCAAAAAAATACTCCAGTTGCTTTCACTCAACCAAATGCGATTATACATTTGATAGTTTATCAGACATTATTAGAGCCACCAGGCAATGTGATTTGTCATCAGTTGAGTTAGATGAAGATGAAACTAACTAAACAGTGATCACACTATCCTAATATGATCGGCAAACTCTAGCTGAAAAGCGACCGTAAAATGAAGCTGAATGTAGTAAAATTAAAGGAAATAGTAGGGTAGTTGTTTAACGTGGTTGTAGATACCAGATTTCTCATAGAAAAGTATAAAAGTAACTGCATTAGATATGTAGTCTTCTCTTTCAGAGTTGTTTTGTTTTACACTCATAACGCGGAAATTACTGACTCTGATGTAAAATGCTTGCAGTTCAATAATAGGTTTTCTGCAGGAGTTTTCCTTCTAAGTCAATTAATTTGAAGAATTTCCTGTGATGAAACGCAAATAACTCATTTAGGACAGATAACTATTAATAAAGAAAACAAAAAGGCTAAGCAGGCCATGAAGTTTTAGTATTACGAACTTTGGTTGTTTAAATCTCACCACTTCCTTGGAAGTGTCATACTAAGTACAGTCGAAGCAGGATTGTTGTAACCTAAGAATGAGTAGACCAAAGCATACTGTTTGTGCGTCGGTGGTATAGTGGTTAGGACGCTCGCCGACCATGCACATAGTCCGGGGTTCGATCCCCGGCCGACGCACTCCTTTACCTCGTTGAGCCAGAAATAATGCTCGTAAAGAGGAAAGGTTGGGCATGAGGCTAGCAACCCCATCCTGTAAAATAAACACTGCTACAGAAACTTCAAGCTGCTAGCTTGGAGCCCTATGTTCCACTGGGGAACGTGAAGGAAATAAAAAAAAAAGGCATACTGTTTACTTATGAATTCATTTGTCACAGATCCAAACTGTCTGGCATACTGTAGGTTTCCTGATTAGTACCAAAAATGACTGAAATTGACAGTTGATTGCGAAATTCTAGTTTCCACACAGATCACCCTGTAAACTGCATTCATAGAGAAATTTATAAACACTAAGTTATCCGCTATTTTCGCTTTTCTGATGTTTAGGTTAGCGAAACCAGTAATTTAGAAGATTTGGATCGTCAGAATAAGATTACAGAATATGAAAAATGTTTCAAGGCTATTACAATTGTCAGGCATTTGCTTGAAAACTGCCTGAATTCAAACGGTTCATTACCTCTTGGTGTTGGACGTCGTCTATTGTATACACATGACATTCCTATTTTGCTTTGTCAGTTACTTGAACAAACACCCTGGAAAATAATCGGTTATGATAAAAGTGCTAAAAAACGTTGTCAGTTTAACTGGCAAGAAAATGGATCCTGGATTCCAGATGATAAAAGTTCAGATGTTATTCACAAAACAGAAGCTCAGGTAAATATATCAAAGCACAAATATTTATTTATAGCTAAAGACTAGTTTCTGAATTTGTATTCCTTTCAGATTAATTCCTTAACTTAACTAATGTTAGAAATAAACATGGGGAATAATTACTACTAGTAAACTTTCATTATCACTGTTATACTTCTATGTATATCACTCAAGTATATTCCTCATTAAGTTAAATGATACTATCAGAAGAACAGAAACATAGACATTTCCGTGACATTTATTTAGTCCTCTAAATAAAGTTTTCAAAAGTCCACTGAGTTCAGTCAATGTCTACTGAAATGAAAACCGAATTTTATTGACTACATTTCGAAACTATTTCAAAAGAGTAAAGTGGTTTCTAATATATGCTCTTACAAGTAAGCCTAGCTTCTTTACTCTAGACATTAATAGAGTGTTATTTTAGAAATTCCAGGAAGATAACTTGTTATACGTAGAAGAGATCGGAAAATTAGGTAGATGGATAGAAGGTGACTGGTTTGTGTGTTACAGAACCAATGTTTTTAAACAAGACTCTCTTAGTAATGAAGATGAAAATCAACAATTTCCAACTACATTTATTCCTTAACGGAGTGTTTTAACAAATGTAACAAATGGGTTACGCCATTGTCAGCCAAACCTATCTGTTACCATTAGTTTGAAAAGGACATCTTTAGTGATTCTTGTCTATCAACTACCAGTGTGAACAGCCAGGTAAATTAAACTTACGATGGATATTTTTCTATTTATGCAAGAAGACTTCATGAAAATTCGTTGGTTACTTAACAACAGTCTGTAAACATTTGGCTTGAAACAAAACTGTAGGTGTCCAGAAAGTGTGTATTTATGTACTTTGAAATCGACGGATACTTTCAGGAAATAATATGCAAATGTATTATTAACTTGAAGAATCGCCATCAAAAGTTTTCTAGGTTAGTTTAATGATTCTTAAATGCTACTGATGAAAAATTTCGTGGTCTCCTAGATGACAGGCAGTGACCTATTATTAATCATTGTGGCTGTTTAAACTACCACTTCATAGAATGTGTATATATTCAGAAACAACTATCTGAGCGGCAACTATTCGTCTTTCACTGTTTGTTTCACTAGTAGAAAGTCAGAAGGATTATATCCATCTGTAGTCAAAAAATGTAGCGACTACTTTACATATATTATAATAAAGGATTTTTGTATTTACCAATGAATGACAAAAACGATATTGATTTTACTGACATTTCGATACTAAATGCCAATAGCTTCATCAAAGTATTATCAAACCAGAATTTACAAAATCTCAGCGTATATATAACAACTAACTCATGGTAAAGATAACAAAACCAGGTGTACATTATTGGATTTGATAAGTGTATGAAATTATAAAAGCAGCGTGTGTTCACATAATGAAATTTCTTATCACATTCGTGTTGATTTTGTCACTTCATGTGGGAGGAAGGTGTTGTGACTAGGTCAAATTCTGTTTTATACCATCATTCCTATTCAGACAATTTGGATTCCACTCGATATGAAGTGCTTCTGATATTAGACGTTCTTTATGACTTTTGAAATTTTTCCGGATGATGATTTCAATATTGTCAAAATCAATTTTGTGACCTGATTCTATGACGTATAGACCACCTATGGCTGATGATTTTTCAGGCTTTTCTAGTTCAACTGGATTTCTCAGTGGTTGATTAGATGCTCCACGGTGTTCATTTCTTCTGATTTTGATTTCCCTCTGGCGATTTTTGTCCGACGTATATTGCATCACATTCCAAGCATATTATTATTTCGTAGACACAATTAGATAGAGAATCCTTGAGGATTTGGTCTTTTATAAGGACAAGGTTGCTTTGTAGTGTGTGAGTCTGATGCTTTGAAGAAAACTCTGACGTCGTGCTTATTGATTACTCCTCTGATATCGTCTGACGTCTCTGATCTATATGAAATGACGACTGTTGAGGCCCATGTTTTCGAGATACGTTTTCGACCATACTTAGGGTCAGTGTTGATTCTGTTGATGCAGTTCATATAACCAATGCTAAAATTTTTTTAAACTGTTAAAAGTGAACTTGGTTTGAACATAGTTACCTTACATGCAATTTACTCGATTTTAAGTGCTGCATCATATCCGTGGCAATTTAAGTACGTATTTTCAGAACTGAGAACAAACAATTACTCGCATCATTATTCCCTTAGGTTCTGAGTAGAACACAGGACTTCAACAAAACATCTCCAATTCATCCTATACTCCGCAGTTTCTGTAAACTGGCCGCACAATCACCCATAAGCTTCAAATTCTTCCTCACATGACCACCTCGACGTCACTCTCACACAACCAACTCATCGTTTCCGATTCAGGATCTTTAGGACCTGTCAAGCGACGTCATTCAATGGTCTCCTCAGCATGTGTCCGATTCATCTCCATCCCCCTCTAACTACTTGTTGGACAATAGACACACGGTTGGTTCGTTTCCAGAGTTTCTTGTTGCTTATCCTTTCCAGTCATCTGATCTTCAGTATGGAGTGAAGGCAGTTGTTGATAAAAGTTTTCAGCCTGTTCGAAGTGCTTTGGATGACACACCCAGTCAGCGAACCACTTGGAAGAAGTGACTTGACACTAGTGTAAAAATCCTAATGTTGTTGTGTTTTGTGTGGAGTGCAGCAGATTTTCACACTGATTGCAGAGCAATCAATGTGTGCTTTGTCTTTTCAGTCCTGGCTTTGTCGTCACGATCATCAGTGCCGCCTGCATTTGAATTGATGCTTCCTAGATAAGTGATAGAAGTTATTGCCTCAAATTTTTCCGATCAGTAGTAATTGGTGAGCGTTGTCGCTGGTATTCAGGTATGTTAAACACGTCAGTCTTCTCAATGTTCGCTTGAAGTCCAATCTTCACTGCTACTTATGACAACTTGTTAATTTGTGACACTATACTTAAATCATCGACACAGTCCAGACCTTCTAGATTATTCTTGTTGTCCCAACTTTTTCGTTTCCTCTTATTTCCCGCGGTGTCTCACATGATGCTGTTCACCACATAATGGAATATCATTGGTGATAGTAGACAGGCTTGTATTATCCCTGTCTTCACCACAAAGGCTTCGGTGAATTTTTCGTTGTGATTCACGTTACGTGTATAGCTGCTGAATGACGTTGGTTAAGGTTTGAGGTGCTCCGTAGTGCTGAAACGGTTTCTAAATAGCCTCGCTGTCAACGTCACTGATATCTTTTTCAAAGTCGGTGAAGTTCAGTTGGGGATTTGACTGTCATTCCATGCTCTTTTCGATTACGATATGTAGAGTTGCTTCTTCTGTATCTAGCTTGTCCCAGTCGGAGTTTCACACCCATAGCCTCTTTATGTCGCTGGTTTATTTTTACTGTGAGTCTGACAGGTTGCGAAAATTCTGGAAACTACAGTGTTTATTGAGTTTAAATTCCGAGAAATACAAGAAGAAATGCATGGCAAAAATACAGATGAATATTAATGCCTTGATATTTATTCACTACCCTAATTAAATTGCAGCTGTAGAAGAGAAAAAGATACAGCTGTTGAAGTTAAACGATATAATGAGAATTTTAGTTCCTTGTCATACTTTTCTTCTGTAAACTGACAACCTTAAATAATGAGATTTGATTTAGTGTGAAGTGAGAAGCAAAAGTCAATCCATGAAAGGCTAGGGTTAAGAAATAGTGCAAGGTGGTAAAGTTAAAACGGGTCGGCAGTCTATGAAGTAAATATTTTTCAGTTTGAACCACGTAGGGAGGCGTAGAATACCTCTTTAGGGTAACCAAGAGTTTAGAATCTAACAGTCGAAGGATGTCAGTGACAAGGCTGAAAATTGTCAACAGGGAGGTAGGAGCAAGCACTCCTTGTAATCATCCGAATTCTGAAAGCTTACCATTAATTTTCATTTGATTACCTAGATTTAATAAGCACGTGAACGATATTTATTATTACCGACGAATTTATACTACTAATCCAGTTCAGCTGTATTAAATGTTTACGTAAATTAATTTAATTGTACAGCTTGATGAAAGATTGCCGAAAGCACTCATGTGCCTAAACTTCATGTTTCAATTGTCAGTATGGAAATACTTAAGTTACTATAAACTCTATAGACTAAATCGGACACACAACTTGCAGAATCATCGGAATTTAAAATTTCCTAATGCCACTCTTCGAAAAGAATTAGTTGCCATTTTATCACTGAGAAAATGAATACATAAAGTCATTCAAAAGACACAGACGTTTCTGAATGTTAATCTGAAACGGATTTACTGAAGTTTCCACGTGTAATAATTAACCCTATGTCTATCATGGCTAAGTTTTGACACTTAATCTGTTTTTATTCATTTGACAGATTTGGTTGTGTCTGTTTCAAATATTATTAGCTAATAACTCGTCTTTACAGTATGATTGCTCTGTTGGTCATAGAAGAACGGCTTTGATGAAACTACGTCCCTTTCTTACTGAAACAAAACTAGACGTTCTTCCTGTTTTAATTGATCTGCGACGATTTTTAGAACACTTAAGTTTGAATGACTCTTACAGAGGTGCCGGAGACAAAACTAATATGTGCCTGGTTGAACTTGTTCCAGAAATCCGTGAAGCTCTGGTCAGCAAGTAAGTTGTGCATTTCTATAAATATTACAATGTAATATGCATTACTTATGCTTCAGTTAAAAAAGCAATGCAGTGAAAGCTGGCCAAGTGGGAAATACTTTACAAATTACTCTAGAATACTCCCCTCAAATTAAATATAGTCTGTTGGTCGACTGTACACCTCGCCCAGGTTGACTGCTACAGATGGTTGCAAGCTAAACAGCACAAAACTTTAGGATGCAAATATGGATGCGAATGATAATTCAAAGATATTTAAAAACAACTGAGTGTTTTTTTTATGTACGTAGTTAGTATTTAGGTGCTCCACAGGAGTCTGTAGAAACCAAAAAGTTTATATAAGAATACGGAAGAGTTCAGATATTTTTTTGAGGCGATATACTATTGACCACAGAATGAATATTATTTATTTATTTTTTTATTTAAACGCAGAAAAACTTGGTACAATATGGCACCAAGAAAGATGCGCCACACGATAATAATAAAACAACATAGATTAAAAGTGAAAATATAAGTAAAGAACGGATAAAGAACCTCATCTGGAAGGAAAACAGTCATGTTTAACAAGTTCAAGCAGTTTTCGTCAACTATCATCAGGAAGGGAAGAAAGAAGGAAATTGCAACACGTTCGCCATTGATTACGATTCTTGGCCATATCCGATAACGTTTCGAGCCATCGATTCGAGCTGTCTCTCGGACCCTAACCAGGGAGTCGTGACGCACCAACCGATGCTAATCTAGCACAAATATCCTTCATCTCACGACGCCACGTCATGGACTGACCACCCCTCCGCCTTTTCCATCCCGCCCCAGGGCTAGCGAACAGAGATCTGTACGGAAGCCTCTGGGATGACATTCACAGCACATGTGCAAGCCACCGGAGCCGGTGTTTCCAGATGACGACACTCAATGAATGGTGATCTCCACTGTGTTCAAACACACGCCACCGAACCTCAGAATTACTCACGCGATGATGCCATCGAACGCAAGCAATCCTGCGGAAAAAGCGATGATCGAACACGCAGAGTCGCCGCACATCCTCAGCTCGGACAGGCCAGGTTTCACAGGCGTAGAGCAAGACAGCCCGCACCGAAGCATTGTATACCCGGCCTTTGATAGCTAACCTAACGTCGCACCAGAGATGGCTCAAGTTGATGTATGCCACGCTAGCCTTCATTATACGGTTGGAAATCTCATCCGTCACCCCTCACTTATCAACAACTTCAAGTGGTTCACCCGCAAGAGTGAGTGCAAGTACAGGCTCCTGCCAATCTTGTAACCGTACTTTGCACTTAGACGGTGCAAAGCACATACCATACTTGGAGACACTGATCGCCAACTGATTAAGTGCGATTTGGGCAGCCTGCATGCTATCGCACAGTAAGACGATATCGTCTGCATACTCGAGGTGGAGAAGTCTTTCTTCAGAAAGCAGATCTACACCACCACCACCACCACCACTAACATCTTTCAGAGCTGACTCCAGAATGTCATCGATGGCAAAGTTAAAGAGAAATGGAGAGATCGGGCAACCCTGTCTAACCCCACTGTTGGTTGGGAACAGTGATGATAGTTGCTTGCATGCCATAACTCTACTTGAGGTGTTTCTGTATAGGGCTTTCAAGCTGTTAACAAAGTTCTCAGGTACACCTCTCTCTAACAGACAGTTTCAGAGCACAGTTCTGTCCAACGAATCGAAGGCAGCCCCAATATCAAGAAACACAACGATCGTTGGCCTGCAGTACGTGTGGCTATGTTCCAACAACTGACGAAGGGTGAACACATGATCAATGCATCCACGACCTGAACGAAACCCAGCCTGCTTTTCGCGAATCAATCCTTCATGTGTTTTGCACAGCCTGTGGAGCAAGACAGCAGCCAACATTTTAGACGCAACTGGTAGCAGACTGATACCCCTATGATTGTCACACGAATTACGTCAACCCTTTTTAAAGATGGGGACGATAATGGCTTCGTTCCACATTGATGGTACACTCTCAGTTTCCCATACCTCCCTGAACAACCCAGTTAAGGCCATTGTGAGAGTCTCGCCACCATTTTTAAAAAGAGCCGGGGGTAAATTGTCTGGGCCGGGCGCCTTATGGCGTTTTAACACTTGGAGTTCCTTACGGACCTTCGCTTCGATGGGTGGGTCGGTATTAACCGACCAAGGAGCACTGGGGCTAATGACAGCAGCCATTGAAGCTGGTGGCCAGCTAAACTGTTTCCCGAATTGCTCTGCCCAGCGTTCCAGGCGTCTTTTCAAACTGGTAATTGGCGTGCCATTTGCCTCACAGACCGTCTCGCTGACACCTTGTTTCTTGTTGCCGGTGGCTCGGATGAGCTGGAACAGCTTCCGACTGTTGCAGATGCAACAACTGACTCCATCACACACGAACGTTCTGACCACCAGGCCTCGCGATCCTTACGTAAACACTTTCTAATCTTGCGCGTAAGCACCTTTCGTTTATTGCTGTATTCGCTGCCAGCCAGAATGGACCGGCGTTCATCCAGGAGTTGCAAGGAACTCGCAGAAACCCAGTGGTTTTTGGCGGAGCATTCTTTCAAGCCGCAAGCGGCTACACTCGCCATTTGTATGGCACCTTGCAGATGGAGCCAGTGTTCATCTATACTACTTGGAGGGTTGCTGGCAAGCATTGATTGTAACTCATTCTGATATCTCAAACAAGTAGCAGGTGTTACTAGTTTGCTCACATCAACGTTTAGACGACGCCTTTTATGAACCCCACCAAATCGCAAGACGAACTTGGCACACACTAACGCATGATCGGAGTCCAGGCATGTGCTCCAGAAGGGGCGACAGTCTTGTATGCATCCTCGCCACCGGAAACCGACAGCAATGTGATCGATCTGAGTCCAAGCTTGGTTCGCAGAGGGAGGACGCCAGGTAGCGCTACGGCGATGGTTGTGCCGGAAGTTGGTGCTGGCCAGAAATAGGTTGTGATCCACGCAAAGCTGCAGAAGACGGTCCCCATTATTTGACCTGCGACCATGTAGTCCCCATTGACCACCTAGATGATTCTCCTCTGAGCTCAGACGCCCGACCTGTGCATTCAAGTCCCCAGCCATCACTACGATATCCCTCCGACCCGCCTGTCTCAAGAGATCGCTAAGTTGGTGGTAGAACTCATCCTTCATTGCATCCGGGCTGCAATCCGTTGGTGCATAGGCAGAGACAACAAATAGACACCGCCTATCTGGTCTACTACTCCTTACTTTCGTATAACCTTCCAGTCTCACAGCACATAAACGACTGTTAATGGGAATCCAGTCGAGCAGTGCAGCTTCGGCTCTAGCGCTCAGTGTGACGCCGACACCAGCTACGCCGGATGCCGACGCCACAGGGTCCCCGGACAAGCGCAGGTGGTACATATTACTAGAACTTCCAGATGGAGAGGATAATCGAAGCACTTCACTGGGATATTGAATGCGAATCTCCGAAATGCAGCAGACATCGATAGCGAGGCTTTCCAACGTTCTTACCAACCTTGCCTGTTGTCTGATTTGCATCAGCGTCCGAACATTGTAGGTGGCCAGCTTGAACGCGGCACACGGTTTCAGGATATCTGTGTTATATGTCACATTGGGGACAACCATTTTGAGGGTTACTCACTGACATCTGGAAACGACACAGATAGGCTAGGAATCCAAACAAAGGCGAAAGGCTGTCGAAAGTTAAGAAGTCAAGGTGAGCAAAGGTAAAATACAGGAAACTAAGTATAAAAATAAAAGTAAGGTTGGAAAGAGATGTGTTACTTGAGACATCATTATTGCTTGAAAGAATTGTTACGAGCGCGCGATTAGTTCCACTGATATTTTGTTGCTTTATTTCATTTATTGTGTGAGGGCTGAGATACTGCCCGGGTGCCCAGACCGAAGCAGGTGGTTTTCTTAAGGGACCACCCCCTGAGCCTTTGACTTGAAGTCTAATCCGCAAGGCAGCGGAGCAGCGTCAGGTGCTGCGTTCCCATGGTTGCCGGTGACCCATATGGGTTCGTACGCCATTTGATCCGATTGTATTCTGGAGCCCATGTACCCCATGGTAACTGCTTTTAGTCTAAATGCTATCCAAACAACCTTCCTAGCATGGTAGGACCTGCAGGGACATGAGTCCCAGCCAGTTTAGCTTGTTGGGGCACTGCGGCATTCAAGCCCGACCACCACGGCAAGGTAGCAGTTATCGGCCGGGACAGAATGAATATACGAGATCCCGTCGCTTGAAGTGACGCTTTTTAAATCACATCCTATACTGATCTGTCTGTCAGACAATAAAACAGGCTTTTTAGCGTACCATTTTCGCAGTACCAATAACACATCAGATAAAGTCATAGGCCTACTGAGTAAGACATCCAACTTAGAATGTCACCATTTTTTAGAGTTTCACTACAAAAAAAGAGTGGAGCATCAGTTTAGTTTATGTGTATACTACATAATTATTCATTTTCATCAGATTTTTGAGATTTGGAATTATAATATCTTCGTGTTTTCTAACATTCATTATTTTCAACCTTCGTTTAGATATAAAAACAAATGGAAGAAACTAGCAGTACTATTTACCGAACAAAGTGAATCGAATCGTGGAAAAGAAGCAGCGAGAAAAGCTGCAACCAAATGGACTGATGCATTCTCCGAAGAGCATCTTAGTCAACTGTTCTCTTCTTCATTAGGAGATTCAGGTGATAAGAATCCTCTCTATCCAACTCCAAGGTGTCCTATATGTGGAGAAGTAGCTTCTAAAAGATGTTCCAGGTGTCGTCAGGAGTGGTACTGCGGGCGAGAATGCCAAGTGAAGCACTGGCCACGACACAAAAATGCTTGTGACTTGTTAACCGAAGCTATAATTGCTGGTGAAGATGCAAATTAGACATACATTTATATTGTAACTAAAGTTGGAATGTAAATATTAATAAATGCTAACAGTATGAATAAAAAAGAGGAAAATATAATTTGAGTAATAAATACTGGGGTGGGATTATAAGGCTACAATAACATATTAAAATTTACGTAGGCATATGGAAGCATTTATATATATATATATTTGAGGTATAAAGATAGATCCTTTAATGGTTACGCAAAACAGCAACTGCAAACAATATACTTCAAGAGGCGAACCACAGATAAACCATTAAAACTTTCGGGAAAACTAAAAAATAATATAGCAAACAAAAGCTACGTAAGAAACTCGATCGCAAAAGTACCATATGAATATCCAGAAACATCTATAAAATTAATCACTACCATGGGAAAATCAATATCATATACCACAGGAATTGTTGATCATTAGCTGGAGTCGGTCTCTAGAAAGCCAAGAAATGTAAAATATTTCTGTTATATTTGAGTCCCGTTATACTGAGAAACACTGTATTATTACCTCTGAAGTTAAATTTCAAAAGACCAACCTTCGTAGTTAGAATAGCCTTTGGACAAACCTGAATGTCATCTTGCTGCAACATGAAAAGTATTACATCAGCGAACCTGTTGTATAAAATGTTCATTTTCTAGAATATATAGCTGATGATATTGTGCAGCATGGGTCCATTCTGTGAATTTTCGTCTAAGTCTTATATGCGGGAGATTGGGGTGTCTGTTTACGCTGACTGTGGCCAAAGAGAGAGCTCAGGCTCTGCTGACCTACAATATCTGTTGGAAACGCATGCTTTAGACTTTCGCTCAGCTGATAGTAAAAGTCATCGTTAATTGCATCCGGACAGTGGTAGCTTCTTGGAAAATGAAAGACTGTCTATAGAGATCCAGTCGAAAAATGCAGGTCAGGTTATAGCACTCAGTGCGACACCAGCTAAACCGGATAGCGATGACACATAGTCACCGGACAGGCTCACGGAAAAACATGGTTTTCAGTTATGCAGGCTCAGGTATTCGAAGCTCTTCACTGGGATCTTACATGCGAATCTCTGTGACGCACTGCACATAAGTAGCAAGGCTTTCTAGGGCTCTGACCAGACCTGTCTATTGTCAGATTCGCATCAATGTGAGAATATTTTAGGTCAATCATGGTACGGTCTGTGTATGTATATTTGACTCCGTCGACTTATTGTTATTGTGACAATGTCTGACCGTGAACAGTGTCGAGAAAGTATATACCACTAACGAACACACTGTACTCGAACACACGCATTCGTGTAAGAACTCACAGAGTTTGGTCATCTTAGGTGAAAACAGCGAGTGATGTTCAGTGTCACTATCTTTTATCTGATTTTATTATAGATGGATTTTGGTGACTCAGGGACTAGATTATTTATGAGGGAGAGTTTTATTGACTTGCAAATGTGCAGGCGATGTAGTACTTCCAGACGAACACCTTGGACGAAATCTTAATATGCAATGTGTTCATTTCAAATATAAGATGAGGCTACAGGACTCCCAGTTTAAGGGTAGACAATGAGATGGTTGAGTAGTTCACTTATTTAGGAAGTTGCATCAGCCCTGATAAACTGATTGCTGATGAAGTCTCAGCAAGGATAAAATGGCTGGCGTGGGATTTGCTGATCAACGTCTTCTCTGGTATAGACATGATACCTGACTACTCGTTGAAGGACATATGCTACTCGACAGTCTACCGTATCCTTCTTTATCTCTGTGAGACATGATCATTGAAGAAGAGGCTAGCTGTCTTTGGCCATAGGTATTTGCATAATATCTCTTATGTTGACTGCCACAATCTAATGATCACCAAAGTGATTAGGCGACGAGTGTTAGGTAAGAAATATAGGTCAACCGTTGAGGTTGTGGAGATCAGCCGAAAAATACAGCTAGGATACGTGTTGCGCCTACCAAGCCACAGCCTTCCTCTAGAAGCAATGTTAGCTGACATAAGATTGGGTGGTGATCAAATGAAAATATGGTATCAATCTATGAAGTCTAATTGTTGGTTAGAGATACATAGGGAAGTGCAGACTGTTTGTACGCTAAGAACCAATGGTTAGAGACTGTTGGAGACCTTGCTCAAAGTCGTTCTGGATGACTCAGATGCATTCAATTATTGTCATCTCACAGATTCATTGAATCTTTATTATTCCTCATGTAATTGTTTATTCTCGCGTAATTTCCGCCGTCTGCGCCAGCTCAGGTGCATTTCTTTTGCATAGCTATGTGTGCCTTTATGAAGTGTGCCCAACTGAAGTGCAGTGCTTTCGAGAAAACTTCTGCATCGATAACTTAATTCAATGCTGATGTATTGTACATTATCTTGCACACACTTTTCCTGAAATCGCTCTTCAGGTGCCTACCACCTACTCATCAAATTTGGCCATCAAAAATTATAACATTTGGATTTCTTAGCCTTCTAAGTGATATACAACCTTTTTTTACTTTTAATCATTTTAAGACAACATAATTCTATTGGAGGTTTACAAAACAAAAGCAACCTAAAGATGATTTTAAAGCTAGAGTTGGAAGATGAGTAAAAGATTAAGTGTCAATGCTGCGTATGAAATAGAGATTAAAACTATGTTGACCATCAGTGAAGCAAAGAATGAATCCATACACTTCGTTTTAATTAATTTTTTCATATATTGCTAAGGCTTTCGGCTTGTTCAAAAGTTGTCAAATTGTCTTTATCATAAAGTGATGTCATTTAGGCAGTAGAAAAGTGATTACAGTTACGAGAAGAAAGTCCGTAGGGCAGTGAATGAGAGGCGAAGGAAATGACCAGCAGAAAACTAAACAAAATCTACCGCTTGAAAATTCATCTAAGTTTATTCAACCACATGAAAATAAATGAGATTACCATCTGGTTTTAAAGTCACCTATATCTAGTTAACAAGCAATATTAGTGGCTGATTACTTATATTTAGCAGCACCCGAGTGTGATAGACGGATGCTCACACAAACTTGATTTTCTTGATGTGGTTTTTACAGTACATGAAATCTTGGTTCTCTTATCATAGATATGATTGTAGATTTGCAAGAAACATTCTATTATGAACCACGGGCAAAAACAATAAATCTACTGTTAAACAACCACAATTATTAACACGCTCTTCGGTTTACACTCAGGATGAATTGCTGATATTTTTCGTCAAAAATACACTATCGTAACCAAAAATACTAACTAACTGCTTTGAATGTAGAACTTCGCACATATGCTCCACAGTTCCAGTGACCACTCTCGATGTAGTACACAAACGATGGGAAGAGAATAAAAAGAGAGATACATGAATACCGTACATTCTACTGCTGTAAGAGTTCAGACAGCTTTACTGATACATCTGTTACACTGCTCCAGACCCCTGAATCTCCGAATTTACCTGTAGGTGTAAAACCGCGCATGCACAGTCTTTACAGAATATTTTGCTGTTTCTTATGCTGAAATCTTGGGAGTTTTTCATCAAGAATAAACCCAAACTATAGTCAATTCTAGATAATAATATTCAATGTATTAGATAGACATTAGCACATATAAACAAATAACTTGGAAGTTATTAAAACAAATATTCAGCTTTAGCATAAGAAATATTAAATTAAGCATTGTGAATACATATTTGAACATTCGTTGACATCAAGGTAAAGAAAAAAGACCGATCACATAGCATTTGCAAATAACTAAATGAAACCATCATCTCCAAAGCGTGAAGAAATTAAAAGCATAAAGATAAATCATAATAAGTCAGGTGAATAGGTATAAAAAAACTCAAAGAAATTTTAAGAAACCTATATAACAGTACATGATCTTTGTGTTTTATACGGATTATCTTTTGGTGGACAGAGTAAGGGATCATTTTGGGCGTTTGTGAAGCAATGATTACGTATATCCCATATTGTCTTGCTAAGTGCAACACGATTAATCTCCAAACTGTGTTTCAAGCAGGCGATATCTAGCTTTTTCTGTTCAATTTCAGTTTGTCGTGGGTTGGTCTGATCGCCATCCACAGCGTTATCAAAAGAATTCATTTTCTGAGAAATAAAATAAAATAAACTGGTCAACAGAAGAGAGATCGGTTATATGTCACTGAGTGCTAAAACAATATTAAACTCACCTGAGATTTACCAGAATAACCAAACGAAGATCTCACTAGAATCTTTTGCACAAAAGTTTGTCAGGCAGTAAACCAATAACTTTAAATTCACTGAATGAATTTTATATAATTTCTTTTAAAACTTAAAACAAAAGTCATCGCTCATTATCATTCTTATGTAGCAATGTTGAAAAAAACTATACCACTTACTGTGAAAACTTAGTTTTGATGAAGTAAATGAACAGTAAAGTTGCGCTTTAATTTTTGACAGCAAACTATTAACCACCGCATCAGAGTTTGGAACCAAACTTTACGTCTTGAAGTTTGGGCAGCCAAGTAGAATTATCAAACCTAACACTACGTGTGACCCACTTTCAATCGTATTTAAATGCATTTAATTCTTGAGGAGCTTTTCATTCCACTTCAAGTTAATATACACATAAGTAATGCTTACGAAGCATGCGGATATACAGTTTTTGGTAGCAAATTTTGAAGGAAACAAAATTCACAGGGATCTTTAGGAGATCACAACAATACGTAATTTTTCCTCAGCCACCAATCATGTTAAAACAATGACCAATTAACATATCAACGTAGAAATTTGCATAGAAGCGTATTACTTCAAGCTGAGACTGTTCTAGGAAGTGCAGATAAAAGAAAACAACTGTCTTGCCACTCTAAGTTAATCAACTTTTTCTCTGACAGCTAGTCATTTCCCATGGCATCAAATCGAACCAGACTCACCTTTCACACACTGATCACACCTATAATAAAATCAAACAGGAATGGTAACACTGAACGTCCCTCGTGGAGACTGCCAGTTGTTTTCATTTCAGATAGCAACTCTCTGTAGGCACATATCTTAGCAAAGTTTCTTGAGTAGCATAATAAACTTTTCTGATACTCTGTTTATTATCGGACATTGACAATATACCTCTAAATCGATGGAGTCAAATGCCACCCACTAGTTAAGAGATATGGTAAGTGTTTGATGTCGTTTATTATTTCTGACTTTTAATCTGTCGACGAA